CGGCGAGTTTAAGAAGGTCGATTCCTTGGAAACTGTTCAAGGAAGTTATGCGAGATAAGGCGTCTGCAACTACATTGTTTGCTCCAGAGATGTGTTGAATATCTGAAGTAAACTGCGAAATGTAGTCCAGTTGTCGAGACTCACGGGGAGAGTACTTGTCAGAAGGAGAGCTTAACGAGAAAGTGAGCGGTTTATGGTCCGTGAAAAGAGTGAATTCACGGCCTTCGATATAGTGTTGGAAATGCCGTACAGCACAATACATAGCTAGGAGTTCCCTACCGAATGTGCTGTACCTCGATTCGGTGTCTAGCAACCTTCTAGAGAAAAATGCCAAGGGTTGCCAGGAGTTGTTAACCCATTGTTGTAAGACTCCTCCGATTGCTGAGTCGGATGCGTCTACTGCGATACTAATGGGTGCTTCGGTGTCCTGATGTGCGAGCATTGTTGCTTTAGCAATCAGTTCCTTAACTGTGGAGAATGCTTTTCGTGCGGTGTCGTCCAAATTAATGGATTTCGCATTTCCACGAAGTTGGTCGGTCAGAGGTTTCATAAGTAATGCGCATTTAGGTATGAAACGTCTATAGAAACTTACAAGGCCGTTAAACGTGCGTAATTGCTTGATGGTGGTCGGTTCTGGGTAATCCAGAATGGCCGCCACTTTGGTTCTAAGGGGTCGGATGCCTTGAGCATCGATAGTGTGTCCTAGGAAGTCTAATGAGTCGGTTCCGATTTGGCATTTCTGAACGTTTACAGTAATGCCATGTTTTTGTAATCGTTCGAAAACAAGATCCAGATGCTTGAGATGTGTTTCTCTGTCCGGACTTGCGATTAGACAGTCGTCAACATACGCGTGTACGAAGTTGAGACCTCGAAAAACGTCGTCTATGAATCTTTGGAATGTTTGAGCAGCGTTCCTTAGACCGAAAGGCATTCGCAAAAATTCATAGAGTCCGAAGGGAGTTATGATAGCGGTTTTCGGTATGTCGTCAGTAGCCATAGGGATTTGGTTATACGCTTTAACCAAGTCGATTTTCGAAAAGACAGTTGTACCTTTCAAGGTAGCTGTCAAATCGTGAATGTGAGGCAACGGGTAACGATCGGGAATGGTTTTCGCGTTCAATCGCCGATAGTCACCAGTTGGACGCCAATCGTTGCTGTCCTTTTTAGGGACCATGTGCAACGGAGATGCATATGGGCTACTTGACGGTCGTATGTGATCAAACTCGTTTTTCGCTAACCTTAGCTTTTCAGGAGCTAGTCGTCGTGCTTTAGAGAATACAGGTGGTCCTGTAGTCGTGATGTGATGTGTAACGTTGCTGGTTACACACGGTAGTTTCGCTTGCGTTTGTTGTATCCCAGGGTACTTATCGAGTAGTGGTTGATAGAGTGGGTCTATCGTATGCTTAATTGTGACTGGGGATAATCTGCAACCAGAAAAAGAAGTTACGCAAACGGACAAATTAGTGTTTCCGTCTACTAGCCTCCGTTTGCGAGTGTCGATGATCAGATTGTGGTGTTGTAGAAGGTCCATACCAATGATTGGCATAGAAACATCTGCAACAACGAAAATCCAGTGAATGGGTTTGCGTAAACCCACGTTAAGGTAAACGTACCTTTTGCCATACGTAGCGATCGGTTTTCCGTTTGCCGCCTGTAAGTTTAAAGCCGATTCGTGAAGTCGGTCGTTAGGATTCGCTGGGAGAACGCTAACTTCTGCGCCAGTATCGACGAGGTAGCGAACTCTCGTTGTCACATCTGTGACGTATAACAGACGGCTATGTTCGCCGGCTACGGTTGCCGTTAACGCGTGCCGGCTTGGAAGTTTCCCGAGTTGTTTTTCGAGTCAGTCGGTTTTGAGTTGGGAAAATTGCAGGGTTTTCTGCAATTTCTGGAAAACTTTCCATACTGGTTATGATACCAGCACCAGTCGGTGTTATCCGTCTCTCGTGGTCTAGAGACAGATCGCTTACGTGAAGTGCTTCTACGTGGGGTGTGTGATCGCTTACGGCCTTTACGAAAATTAAGATAATGTGTAAGTGTATGACATAACTCGGTTATGTCATTCTGAGTCGTGTGAGGCTTTTCTTTGACTGAAAAAACCTCGGTAGTAGAAGATTTCGTTATTTCTAAGATACGATCGGCAGATGCAGCCAGCTCGTCTAAGGCGTTGTTCTGAAACGAGACCAGAACTGCTTGCACCTGTTGGGGAAGTTTAGACAAGAAAAGTTGTTTGAATAGGCCTTCGTCGAAAGTTCTTAGTCCTATCATTTCTCTCATCCTTTGCAACATGTCCGTCGCAGAACCGTGCTGCAGGTCTATGTTATTAAAGAGTTGATCTAAGCTTTGTCGATTGGTTAGGTCTTCTCGTTTAAGAATCGAACGCTTTAAGGTTTCGTAAGGTTCAAAAACATCACTAGTAAACATACTAGGTATTACGTACCTGTTGAATTCCCGCGGTAGTGCCTTGACTACTGCGAGGAATTGTGCACGTGTGTCGTTCACGCCGTGCTCGTGGAAGTCGGCTTCTGCGTAGCAGAATCAGGCTTCGATATTGTCAGGCCAGAAGGGCATGAATTGGAACGAGGGTGGGGACATGGTCCTAATCTTAAATACCTTAGGAGTCTGTTCGGTCATAGGGTAATATTAAGTACGAGAATACGAGAGAAAAATATATAGATATCCTGAGACACGGGGAAAAATATCACAATGTATAAAAAATAAGGCAATAATATATAAAAATCCTTAGAAGGAACAGACTCACAGTTGCAATTAGGTGTACCAGTTCACGTCGGTCTCACCAATGAAGATGGCACAGGTATTCAGTGTTTGACAACGCTTTTACCAGCAACACCTAATATAATTCTTACCCACCAAGATATATCAAAAGACAGAGTCGATGAGATCGGAAGAGTGTATTTGACGATAACCAATATATCGGAATTCTCTGATCCAATCTAGCTAGCGATTGCGATAGATGTTGAGCACAGCGTTACCACACGTGATCTGGTGCGGATGCATGACCGAGCGCCTTCAACTAGATGAGTCCACCAAAACATATGGTCAGCATTCAATGTTGAAAACTTACAGAGCTATTTATTTTGGGGATTTATTTACCGCTACAATGTCTACAATGCCTGTATGAGATGTTAGATACAACAAAGATCAGGAGAGATGTTTTACAGTTTTGCCAGCTTCCATGCCTATGGCGTTAAGTGTGTTACAAGTGATGACAAAATTACTGAATTCACGCCCCCTCAAAACAACATTCATAACTTAATCAATCTCACGAGTATTCACTGATTTGCTACTTATGACCTGCTTTTTCGCGACACCTCTCATTTTCTAACTTTTTCATTTAGTGCCCGTTCTTGCTTCAACAAGATCAGTTATCTTGAAACCCTTTAACGTCTTGTAAATCCAAGCACTTTTATTACCATGGAGTCCTGGTGCAGATCATATGTTACTAATAGCTCCTTGAACGTTGATAAGTACATCTTTTTCCATCCTATAGATACCCTGGAATGAATGGCGTTACAGTTGTTTATGTTCGCCTTTTATAGCACTAATAATAACCAGAATACTTTTAAAATTCTTAAGAGAAGACTGGGAAAATCAAAGCTCATAAGCCACAAGCACTATGACTTGTATGCGCTTCAGAACCTAAATAACTTGATTGACAGAAATAATTAGTTCCAACGCAAGTATCTTCTGACTGTTGGAACTGAAGCTTTGGGTAAAAAAAGCTCGGACTTATCAATACTTTGCATCTTCAAATCCCGGTCAAAATCTAAATTATTTAGTACAACAACTTGATTCATAACTAACAGAAATATTGTCTCGACCTTGACGCTATTTATGAACAGTTTCGTGTGAGTGCTTTTCTTATTGCAGGGCAACAAAGGGTAAATGTACTGGGAGAAGAAACTAAACTCCCAAGATGGTGTATAGAAGTATTTTATAAATAAACTTTCCTTTTTCGTACCGGACTACGTGGTTCGATTTTCGAAATATATATGCGTTGTTAACAACGCAAATGCTAGCACGTCGTGTTCTTCCTCCTCACACATTCACTGATCCTGACTTGTGTGCCGTTGTCTTAAATCTTTTCTGCTTCCAAATAAACGCGGGTGACACGTGCTACAATGGTAGCTGTTTAGCCGTGATTTCTTTTCAAATTAAGGCAGTTACTTTGTGTTGGGCAATTCATTCACAGTGATATTTATTGATAATAACAATTTGTAACTAGGAACTACTTCAGAAACGGCGCTACACACAAGAATTCCGGTATGCTAAGTAGCATACTGTCCTGCCGACTTCACTAGACGTGTTTCTATCCTCAGGGTTTTGGATCATCCATCAGTCTTGTGACTGTCTGTCAAGGAGGCAAATTATTGTTCTGAATAACTTTTCTCGTACACAATTAGCTGTGAAATATCTGAATGAGTGGCATGCAATAGCCTAAGTGTACTACGCGTTGGTAGCGATCTATTTCACTTTGTGGAAGTGAGACGTCATTTAAAAGTTGGACATAAGTCTGTTCGAAGAATTGTTCATTCATAATTCCGAGGTTAGACGTAATATATCCAGAGTTTGTATTATTCATTTCCAAACATCAACAAATTCCATGGGTCACCATTCATTTGTTATCCAGATTGTAGGTAAAAGTTTACTTGGGACCACACTGGTTAGTTTGGGTATCAGTCACATTTCAGCAGTTACAACTAACTACTGTACCACGTACTTCAACGACAAATCCTGTCCAGTATCGCAGGTATCCTGAATCTACATTATGCAAGAACAACTTATGAAGGTATGGAACAGATATCAGATTTAAATGCTGTTATACATTAGGAAACATTAAATCAAAAATCGCTAAATTTGTGACGCTAGTGAGTTCCACATTACCATATATGTGCTTATAGAAGTATCCTAAAACCCAAGAAGACTATAATCTCACTGAATTCCATAGATATCAACAGGTCCTGATTTTCCCTCATCAAATGACTGACAATAATCACCCTGACCATTCAGAAAGTATACGAGAAACACGTAAGTAGTTGATAATTAAGTTTTCAGTTTGTATATATATATATCGGTAACGTTGTGCTAGCTGTGTGATGTATCAGTGTCAGGTTGCTGTGCTTCCCATTTGTTCAATTCAAAGTAACTAAAAGAGTTTGTACATAGCATCTGTTGGTTTTTATTCATGTCCCTGGATCATTGAATCACAGCTACATATATGTTGACTATATTCATCATAAATTGTTGGTATTATCAAAGTGCCATAGGGTCATTGTTCAGTTGAATACATTGAGCTACATGGGGTGTTGTGTTTTAATATATTTATTTACTCAATAATTTTGTGTACGACATGCTAGTTCTAAATCTCAGTTTAGATTATGCAAACGATAGTCTGTTTAGTCCAATACACTGATATGAAGAATTCCCTGAAATCAGAAACCCAAGATTAATTTCACATGTATCAAACGTTAAATAATATTGTATTACGAGTCTACACTGACATCATATGACTTTAGGTTGGGAAATGAAGTGGTTAAGTGTAAACCTGTTTATTTATTTTGCGGTGCGTTTATCCCAATGTGATTCCTGTAAAGATAGAGGGCTGTGCCTATCAAGTGGGGTTTGGGATGTTTATCAATGCACGAGTAGGTGGTGTGTCGTCTGTGAACAGGTCTGTGTATGCTGATTGGATGTTCAGTGAGTTCAACAGTGCCGATTTGTTCCATAGCTCTTCAAAATGTCCTTTTCACTTTTTCCGTTGATCTTGAACTTCAGTGATGGATTTTCGTTTCTTGTTCTTGACTGGTCACTCTAGTTTAATATATTCTCCTACCAGTTTCTCGATTGTATCATCTAGTTCTTTCATATTTCGTTTCCTTGAAGCTTGTTTTGCTGTCGTTGCCAGGTCTTCTACATATTTCCGTTTGTCAGCTATAGTGCTCTTCATTTGTTTTTTTGGTTCTGTATATTCGACCTGTGCCTGTTTGAGCTTGGTTGTTGACTGATATCTTGTTTACATTTTCTTGAGTCCTAATCAAACCGTCCCCAGAAATCCATTCTTTATGGTGACGCTCGTTAGGCCGGCACTTCTTGACATGTTCAATTCATTGCTTCTTTAATCTATTCCCAGCTGTTCTTCGTGGCAGTTTTCTCTCCCAGTAGGTTTTAAATGACTTAGAACTTGTTGCTGAGACCCATCTTCAACTATCTGGACTTGTTAGCATCACGAATCAAGGTTGTATTGGACTTTTACGGTGCTTCTTTATCTTCAGTTTCAGCTTGACCACCATTAGGTAGGGATCTCAAACTATATCAGCTCCTCGATTAGTTCTTACGTTTTCCATGGATTCGAATTTCTTTATTAAATAAAATGTGATCGACCTGGTTTTCTGTTGTGTAGTCTGGTGAAAGCCATATAGCTTTATGTATCGATTTGTAGGGGAAAGCGCTACTGCCTATAAAAATGTTGAAAACATATAGACTTGTCAGTCTCTCACTATTCCGGTTTCTGCCTTTTGGTCTATGTCGCCTCAGAAATCGTTTGCACCTAGTACTGTCCATCCCGACCTGAGCGATTAGCCCCCGTCATCATTATGGTTAGGTCTTTTCCTAAACTGTAGCCTCTCGTAAAACTGGTCCTTATCATCCGCTCTGTTGTCATTGGTGGGTGCGTCTTAATGGGTGACATCCATTGTAACCCTTTCCTTTTTGGTTTTAAAGGATCCTTTGCCGATACAGGAGCCATAAGTCTCCCATCCTATAAGTGCTTCTCGTGCTTCTGTGGACAGCATTAGCGCAACCCTCTGTGCGTTTAAGGGGGTAGATTGGGTTTTCTACCTCATGATCAAGATAGAGTAACAGCTCTCCTGCCCTGGTAGGGACGATAGTGAAGAGAGTCAGCTTCCCCTCTCGAAATGCTCTCACATGGCCATGCATATACAGCCACTACCAGGGAAGTCCTATTTACTGCCTTCCCGCGACGGGGGTATTTTTTACGAAGTTGGGCGAACGAGAAATGAATGTCCGCGCTTTAACAGGACCGGTAGATACAGAGCATCCACCTAGGGAAGTTGGAAAACGCTGATTCCAAACCGTCGGCGTACATGCGCTTCAGGATCCTGAGGAGACAAAAAGCCTGTGGATTTATTGTTGGTCACCAGCTATCATGAGACTGCATCTCCTAATGTTGCTCCACTGCCTTATGGATTAGAATCCTAGGTCAAAGGCTCGAGGAGTGGCCTCCTAAGGAAACCATACGACTCAGTTCGGGCACTTGGGAACTATCCCAGCCCTCATACAAATCAGATGTTTAAGTCTGGTGCATATATGTATAGTGCCTCCTTGTATCAATGTTTATGTGTTTAAATAAATAAATAAAACTCTTGGATATAGTTTTTTCTTTCTGGCTTATGTCCAATGAGTTTCATCCATATAGAGCGCGGCTAGATCTTATCTTTTGTTTCTAGCGCTTTTCGTATGATCCTTCCGGTCTTCCATATTTCCTGAGATTCTATTTACCTGTATCATTTTCTGTTCTGGTTGTCTCAGGGGCATCAGCCTCACGTCTTCCAAGGAACGTCGATTCTCACCATGCGACATCATAATTCTTCTGTATGAAGAGCCTTCAAATCCAAAAGCCGAGTTTAGTTGGTTTCAAATGGCTTTCTCCGAATTGAAACTTTGTGGCTAAGTTATCTAAAACTACAGCTGTTTATAATCTCAGTGGGAGCTTTTTTGTCTTCTGCCTTGAAGTATTCATATACAAAGCCATAAAAAGGCCTGGAATATGTCTTATCTAACTCTTATATAACGATTTTATCTCTAGTTGACTGTCCACAATTGTGCTTTCACTGTTTGCACATTTCTTTTGATTGTCTTCAGAGTTAAACCATTTAGTTCAGAGAATCCAACATCAACAAAATCATTCACAGTGAGGGTAATTAATGATAAAACATTTGTTCTGGAAGCATTTAAATAAACTATGGAAATGTTCTACGTTATTAACCTGCACAGATCCTAAGATTCGTTAGATGTCAGACAACAGCAATAGCATAGTGGCTGGAACACTTGGTTTCTAACCATCAGGGTTTGAGTTTCATTCAGCATGGTTTTGTCTGGACAACTGGATGTTATCAACAGCCTTTGTATCAAAAGTACAATTGGCTCAGAATTATGTACCTGAACCTATATCAAGCTTCAATTTTGTGTTATTGGTTACAACTACTTACTTTTCATCGGGATCCTTTGATAGTTATATGCTGATGTTCCATATAATAATCGATGTTACTGTATATTTAACTTCCTACTCCCTGTCTCTCAAACACCAATAAATTCACAGTTGAACCCATCTTCTGTTCAGTATCTTTTTGCTCTCAGACTAATGTTTTTCCGAACAAATTTTTAAATTCGAAATAATGTTCCCACTAAAATGTGATGTGAATTAGCCAAGATACTTTTTCCAATGTTTTTACACAGTATTATTGCATATTTTATATAAATATTGGAGTGAATGATATATTTCGTTGAAAAATTACTTTATGAAGTTTGTATTTATAGTCTTATGTTTGAAAGCTTCTATGAAGTATCAAGGAATTTGTCAAAAGTTTGCTAAATTGGTTACCTTTACAAAGTTAATTGTGATTGTGGTTAAATATATGGGTTGATCTTGTTGAAGATATTTTGAATGGCATAAATCTTGTCGGATATTTATGTCAACAGTATGAAAAGGTTTGCAGATACGATAACCAAATGTATCACGGTTAAAATAACCTAAATTATTAACGTTATTTGCTCACTAGTGGCTAACTTCAACGGGAAATTCCTAGGGTTTTAGTGAAAAGCCGTAACCAGTGGAGTTCAATCGCGTTAGGTGCAAGTAAGGTACCCACCGAAGACATTAGAAGATGCTCGTACAATATCGTGGATTGTTTGAAGTTAGACTTGTATGCCAGTAGACCTCGGCTCAGCGGTCTAGAGGTAAGGGGTTGGTGCGCAAGACCAAAGGTCCTGGTTTAGATCCCCGGCTGTGGGGTCGTGGTTATGCACTACTAAAATGTCTTGTGATTGAAAGAAACGGTCGTCCATGGCTCTCAAGTTCTCAGTGGTTGTCTAATCTAGGTCGGTTTTATTCTCAATTACATATCAACGTTATTGTTTTCTTATCCTTTTGATCATTCAACATAGTTCACCTACAACTTAAGTATTCTAATTATTTGTTACATTTTTCTATGTACACTATGACTATTAATGACGATACTACTTACTCTAGTAACACTAGTGCTCACATTACAGCTACGATCTGTGCTAACGCTGATCGATCCACACAAAATTTCTTTCTTCTTTCCCTAATCTGCCATCCAATCAGAGGGGAAGAGGAGCCAACCGATTAAACTTGTTTTATCGTAGACTTGAGAATTCACATGAATAAATGCATGAAATACAAATCATAATGCCCTATCAGTTAGAAATCTCAAGTCGCTGGTAACTAGGTCATTTATGGTATGAAACTGAGTAACAGGTACATAATTAATCAGTTGTAATTTGTGTATGGTAAAAGACGATTTATCTACAGTCATTGACTTTAGTGAAAGTGTGCAGTTAGGGAAACATAATATTTCAAATTAGATACTTAGTAAATACCCAGTAAGATATATATGTACTAGTTCATCGGAGAATAGTTTTCAGATTTCCATGTCTCCATTTATCCTTCCATTTCGTAACATTATTCTGTAAAGAAACTAGATAAGGATTAATTATTTTACCGCATACACATTCCATCAGTTACTCTTAGTTGTATTTTGCATGATTATCATGCATCTTTAATACGGAAGTTTATATTCAGTACGCTTCTCATTTGTGTAGTAAGTGGCTATGAAGTTCAGCAGTTCTAATTCACTTCTGCAATACTGTTAGTTCAAAATAAGTTAGGTGTGGCTTATTGTAAAACAGTAAAGACGTACTTCCTTGCTAGGTTGTGCTCTCTTTGCTCTTCGATGTTATGTGTTTATGGTAACTGGTATCCTATTAGCATTTTAAGTAACCTGTTGTCTGATTGAAAATATCGCAAAAATCTCTACCGATTGATGTATTTTCAGCCTGGAATAATGAAGATACCTTCCCAGGCTTTGTTTCACCATTCAGTATATTCTCAGATCGTCCATCAACTTCTGCATTCGCTAATATTGGACAAATTGAACCTACACATCCTCCGATAGAACAAAATCAACGGGTAAGATCTTCAGCATAAGTTCCCTAATATTAGTGAAGTTTGATTTGAACCATTTTTTAGTATTATATATTCATTAATCACGCTGACCACTGTCATTAATAAATGTCTTAAAGAGTATTTATTAGGCACAACTTTGTGGCTGTCATTTTGGTTCTGTCGTTTAATAGTAGTAATATCAATACCGTTAATATGATGAGATTGGTTCATCAGCCGGTCTCTAGATATATATTTTCCCGGCACTATACGACTATTGCGAGTCACACATACATTTCAATTCAAGTAACAATTATAGAATGTTGTTTAATTTTACTTACTTTAAAGTACTTCAGTAAGGTGATTACATCTATGTTAAGGTTAATATAACATTGCACCTTGATATTCCGTTTTATCTCCGTCTGCCACCATAAAGAGAAAATAGAGTAGACTTGAAAGAACGGTAGTTGTTCAAATAATTATGTTTCAATATCTTAGTGATCCTGGTCAGGAACCTATGCTTTACATGGGGTGAGAGGCGTAAGAATGAATCTCTTAATAGATCTCATCACAAGAAAACTTTATGGTCGTGGCATTTTAGAAAGATGTAACCCATGGTTCATACAAATTCATGTAAATTTAATACGTTTGATTAGATTACTCAATAAAATAGTATCCTACGAAACGAAGCTTAAATTTCGCCTCATTGGTTACAAAAGTAGGGTCTGATGTGTATGCGTTTCTTATATAAGAAAAGAGCAGAAATCCTTATATTCATTGAAACCTGCAACTTAACTACCCTATACACACCTGTACCATGCTTCGTGGCAATTCTGTCTTGTTCAAGCCAGTAAATTCGACTAGTTACTAGTTGAACACTTTATCTGTGAAACCATAACCACACACTGAAACAGTACTTGGATAATAAGATTTTGTTGAATACTTGGGATTAGCGTAACAGTTTCACTCATTTAAACAATGGGACAATAGCTTAGTTTCTGTATTCTAGGAAACCTGCTTGCTAACTTATAATTCCTTTAATTAAGTACGTTATTAGAATCTACGTTTGTCTGATCACTCAGATAGTATAGTTCATATTTAAGTACCTGAAGAATGAGTTAATTCGAATTGTAAATTCTATGCTAGGTTATTACTAACGTAATTAACTGACAAGATGAAATGAAATTCTAGCCGATGACAATGAATCAGACATTTTATACTTCAATAACTTGTAGTGATATCCCAGTTGCTTGATTTTTTTTCCACTGTTAGTTGTACATTAATGGGATCTTAGTGATGAATTTTATTTTTAGACAGCTATTTACATTGTGAAGTACATGAAATGGCCGTTAAATACAATCTTTAGTTGAAGTATATCAGCACTTTGTCAGATCTATTTTGTTTAAAGATACCTTTTTGAAACACATTTTACCATACTGTTGAGTCAGTCTGAATGTAATAATCATCGTTGAAACAAGTAAAATCTACTTCTTAATAGCTTGTCAGTATCTAAAACGTAAATAAATCATAATTTGTACTGGAGGCATGAAACACATATAAACATACTGAATAGTAGTAATGGAAAAGTGCAACAACTAGGGTTAACAATCATACATATGATAAGAGTAAAAGTTCCATTGATACCATATCACTTTATTTATAGACATTACTAACACTTAGAGTGTAGATTCAGTACATTAAAATCTTTCATAGTGAGATTAATGCAGGATGATGATGATGGTCTACTATAAGATTTCAAATATAATTTTCACTTCATTTGTGACTGATCAACTGAACTTTCCCAACAAGATGATGTTATCTTCGCGGGTTTTCTCCGCGTGGGTTCGAATCCCATCCCCCTCGCCATTGTTATAATTTTGTCTTATCACTCGAGAAGTCCCAAAATCGAAACACGGTTAGACATGAAGGAGATTGTATTCCAAATAAAAGGGGTAGAGGGAAGCAAGAAGCACAATAAGAAAAACAATAGTATATTTATAGTTTTCACATAAGAAGATCCTAGAGTCTCCTCCAAGTATCGAATAGCGGTGGTTGGATAAGGATTAGTCAATCAGCGTGCGTCAACGCAATCGTGCATGGAACATGCTTTAATCCAATCTATGTCACGCTAACAACTTCATCTCAAGCACTAATGCATTACTATTTACTGAGCTATCGAGTTTAAATAGTCACTAACTTATTCATTGGGTGTAAAAGCCTGTTAGTAGGTATTTGTTATTTATTTTCAGGACTGAAATTAATCAGTATCTGTTGTCATATGTTATGTTATGTAATGTATTACATAAACAATTTGTTATTGTTATATATTTTTAGCCAAGAACTTTAGGCGAAACTCTAGGCATCAGTTTGGAAATGTCGTCGTCACCATTTCATCAAAATCAAGCACCATCGTCTACTTCTCCATTTAATGAATTTAAAGTAAGCTCCACTATGAATAATCGCTTTCTTTTTGTTATGAATTTAAGTTGTGGGTCGATTTCTACTCTGTGCTATCGATCGATTCAATGACACGTAAACACGTACGGACGGCCTAGAGTCTCTATTGGTCTCGCTTCCCTGTCTAGCCCAGTTAGTTGAGTCCAGAACACAAGTCACAACCTCTGAGATATGAATCACTATATTTCAAACATACTTTGTTTATATACCAATCAAGCATACCACATCGTACCATAAAATAGAAAACAACATTTTGTACAATATTCAACAAGTGAACAGATATCGACCAATAGGAAATGTCCATTTAAAGTCCAAGGACACCATTGGACTTAACATGATAATTATTGGTCTATTCCTGCGCATCCACAACACCTCCCCTTTTTTTTGAAGATCCGGAGTTGATATCCGGATTTTGAAATTTTCTGGGTTCATCCTCCCCCACGAAATAATGTTGGGTCCTCATATTCCCAAGTTAGAATTAATTTGACTTTATTTAACACATAATTGTCAGATTGAACAGGGGAGTCACTGAAAGTGATTAAATAGTGGGGAACAATGTCGCTTGATATGAGGTCACCAACGTTTGATTCTTCTGGAACATTGTCACGGGATTTGTTGAAAATCTCATTTGTAAACAGTTGATCACTGCGATAATCAACATCTATCAAAATTGTATTAGATTTCTGATCATCATTTAATGCATTTAACACATTTTCTGGTACAAAAAGATCTAGATAATAAGATTCGTCAGAATCTCCTGTTGTTGAATGATGAGGACCATTTGAAACAGCTGGATTCAGTGTACCGCACGATTTGTTCCCTGTTCCGTTGTGGGCGGGTACTGCAATTAATTTATGAGCATTTAATAAGAGATCCTCCTGTGAGCTGGGTACATCACTGTCTGTACACGTTTCAGGAACAGTGGGATTTGAACCCACGACAGGGAACGTTTCGGAATTTGACATTTCTGGACAACTGGGCGGACCATGAATAACTGTCTCGTTTACATCACTGGTCGTCCGGGATTCACAGAGGCTTTTATAAACAGCTTCATATGTTCTGCAGTTGTTTTCCAGCTCAGTCTGCAGATGAGAAATGAATTTACCAACTTCTGTTGCACCTCCGAAACATGGAACATTTACCAACAGTGTGCGTAAATTTTCTAAAAAATTTAACTGGCTATTTTTGAAGCACTGCTGTTGTTGCTCAAGTAGAAGCTGTAATCGATCGGAAAAGGTAGTCATTTTTTTTTCAGCACCTGCAATGAAAATTAACTGTAGGAATAATGACCAATGTTGCTCAAGGACGCTGGTGACAATCTGGATGCTGATTGGTCGAAACAATTAACCTGAATCTCGTCCAATTACAAGGTTCAAAATTTTTCTCCACCCCGTCGCCAATTGTTATGAATTTAAGTTGTGAGACTGCAGGGTTTGATAAGCAGCGTTTATTGATCGATTCGGTGAGAGTGACACGGAAAACACGTAAGGGACGACCTAGTGCCCTGATTGGCCCTGCCCCGCTGTCTGTCCTAGCCCAGTTGAGTGGAGAACAAAAGTCACAGCCTCGGAGATATGAATCACTATATTTCAAACATACTTTGTTTATATACTAGTCAAGCATACCACAGCGTACCATAAAATAGAAAACAACATTTTGTACAATATACAACAAGTGAACAGATATCGACAAATAGAAAATACCCATTTAAAGTCCAAGGACACTATTGGACTTAACATGATAATTATTGGTCTATTCCTGCGCATCCACAACACTTTTACTTAATATCGCCGAATCTTGATATGTTTTTCTGAGCTAAGAAAATCGATAATAATATTTTCTGGAAATCTTGAAAAAATCCACGTTGATTTGCGAACATGATCAGTTTGATAGATATTAGAGATGCACAGGTTATTTTAGTGAAGACTTGTGAAAAATATGTTAATAATATAAAGAATTGCTCGTGTACCCTGGGACCATCGAATAAGTAACACAGTTGTTAGAAAACGGGCACTAGGTAAGGATAGAAAATCAATTGGTAAATAATTAACCAGATAGTCATACAAGGTCAAAGAAAGTTAATGTGGTGGTGGGCATATCACTTTATCGTTGGTGAGTTCATTTATCGATCACACTTCACAATCATTTGTAGGTTTTGTAGACACAGCATACATGAGCGGCTGGAGGTTCTAAATTCATAGTGTGTACGATTTAACTCAGGAATCGAGTGCTGAATGCTTCAACAATAAACTTTCATTTTGGTGATGATTTTAAGTGACTCACCGTTTTTAGCTAACTAGAAAAAGGCTGATAAAAATAAAAACTTCACCAAATGCAACTAGGACAACTACGAAGTACATATTGTTCACTAATGAAACTGAAAACATTTCAGTATGAATATATTTATGCGACTGTAACTAGTGTTTTGAACTTTTGCACATTGTTTCCGTTTCATTAGTTTGAACCCCTGTTGCATTCCTTTGTTCGACTCAGTAACGAATCCGTAAAATTTTGATGAACACAAGTCATTAGTATTGATAACATACATAGAAATTGAAGTAAAAACAGGAATGCTGATAGTCGAAACATAATATTGTATGGAAAAGTATGGGGTTGGATCCTGAACAAGATAAGCTCAGTCGTTTTTCTAGATATGTTATTGGCAGTCTTCATATGCAGATTGTAGACTGTCACCATAAACCCTATAGAACAGATGCTTGAAGATGATCTCACACAATCTTTTTTGAACAAGGTAATGTCTGATGTGATTAAGATCGATCCTTTCTATCTCTTCATTCTGTAAAAGGGAAGTATCGCTCCAGGTAATTCTCAGCAACAGGAAACTTTTTCTGCTTCTATACCTCCACCGTTGACAGTATGACTTCACACTTCAATCTTTGATTTAAAGCTTTTGTCCTACCACTTCCCACTATGATCCTAAAAAACAAGGGTTTCAACAAACGTCAGGTCATCAAGATAGACCATCCTAAACACTGCGTTAAGTTGAAAATGGCTCCTCAAAATTAGCATTCTTAGTGACTAATTATGATAAAACCTAGAATCGTTTTTAACTACTAACATATCTATTGGAGCTTCAAGAAAACTTCCTGTATGTTCTTTTTACATCACAGCTTACTGGTACTTAAAGTTTACATTATTAACGATCGGGTATTTTTCATTCTTCAGTTATCGCGTTATTACTTCGGCGGTTGAGATTGCACAGCCGTAATGTGGTGTGTGCTGCTTATATTGACATAAGTAGTATATGATGTGAATAGAAGGTCTACTAGCAGAGAGACAAAGAGGATCGAACAGTAAAGAATGGAAACAGAATGCAGTTTATATGAAAATGCAAGAACAATGAAGTCTGAGTCATTTTGAGACAATTGGTGGACATTTTGCAAATTAAGCATTTACTTTATGATTACTAGTATAGGGTGTGTGGAGATTATTAAGTTTTTTTGATTCAGATCATGAAACGATTGATGTTAGACCACCTTTGGAAACCTGGAAGCACTGGACGGCCGTTTCGTCCTATTGTGGGACTCCTCAGCAGTGCGCATCCACGATCCCGCTCGCGGGATTCGAACCCAAGTCCTTCAGTCTCGCAAAAATTAATTACCGTATTCTTTCATCCCCATTCGTATGATGTGCATATGTTCTTACTTTTTAGTCCTATATATTTCATCTTTTATCTAATAGATTTGTCGGTTGATTTTGTTTTATTCACTGGTTCCCTCTAACTTACACTCTAGTAATTTCACTCATAGTTAAAACTTGAACAATAAACTCGAACAAACAGTCATGTCATTTGTTATGACTGATGTGACTGCAGGTCTTGATAAGCAGCGTTTATTGATCGATTCGGTGAGAGTGACACGGAAAACACGTAAGGGACGACCTAGTGCCCTGATTGGCCCTGCCCCGCTGTCTGTCCTAGCCCAGTTGAGTGGAGAACAAAAGTCACAGTCTCGGAGACATGAATCATTATACTTCAAACATACTTTGTTTATATACCAATCAAGCATACCACATCGTACCATAAAAATAGAAAACAACATTTTGTACAATATTCAACAAGTGAACAGATATCGACCAATAGGAAATGTCCATTTAAATTCCAAGGACACCATTGGACTTAACATGATAATTATTGGTCTATTCTTCCGCATCCACAACATCATTATAAATAAATTAATATATTTATAATACCCTAATGAGTAGAAAAATTAGATTTTCTGACGTTTCGTGACTCGGTATAAACTACTTCTTCAGAGGATAAAAAGTGGTTTATACTGAGTCGTGAAACTTTCAGAAAATCTAATTTTTCTACTCATTAGGGTATTATAAATATATTAATTGATTTATAATAATTTACCCAATGCTCAATTTGTTCGAAATTATCAAGTCAACCTTGGTAATGATACCCCCAACACTATGTCCTTAGTTTATTTCATGGAAACATCAATCAGAAATCGTTAGAATAAAATGCTTTTCATTTAAGGAAAAACATCAGTGTTTTCCTAATGTTAATTTATAAATCTTATACACTTTTCTAATGATTTAATAACGATCATGCATAGTGATATGATAATGTTCACAAAGAATATCGTATCCTTTTTTTGTTTAAATGTGGATGTTATATACTACTTATTTTACTGTTTTAGTTTCCTGCTGATACTGAAGGAAAAGATTTGAACTCAAACATGTAAGCGTGTTTTTCTTTTGAATCTTAACTTCATATTTAGTTTGGAAAAATATTTCTTGTCTGTTACAGTTCTTAAAATCCACTGAACGAATCCACTGATATTATATAAAAGCGCATAATATTGTGTTTAGTTGACTTAATAGTTCAACCTTTTATTCTATCTAACTATATTAAAAATGTATCCATTCTGTAACGGGTGTTTTACACACACATACACGTTTCAACAATTTCAACTTGTAAATAATCAGTTAAAGTTATATACAAGGTTAAACTTATACCTTCCCGGCAATTTTCTTCAAAGTACTTATCCATTGAAGATTCACTATACATTTATTTATTTATTTTAACACACGGATATTAGTACAAGGAGGCATCAAATACATATGCACCACACAAATCTCATTCGATATGTGTGACAGCTATGATACTGCCCGGGTGCCAAAACCAAAGCAGGTGGTTTTCTTAGGAGGCCACTCCCCGAGCCTTCGACCTGAAGGTTTGATCCACAAGGCAGTGGAGCATCGTAAGGAGATGCAGTCTCATAGTAGACGGTGACCAACTATTGGTTCATACGCCATTTGTTCCTTCAGGATACTGAAGCCCATGTGCACTATTGTTTTGGAGTCCGGTTAAAGCGCCGGACATTCGCTTTTCGTCCTCTCATTTTCGTAAACAACACCCCCGCCACGAGAAGGCGGAAATGACGCTTTACTGCGCAGCAGTTCACTCCATCCTACTTTATGGCAGTGAAACATGGCCGGTAAGAGTAGAGAATATTCTTAGGTTACTAGTATTTGATCATAGGTGTCTTCGAAGCATTGCTCGTATATCCTGTGACCACTGAACCACTGAACCCACGCCCTTACAGACTGGTGCCTAAAACCTATACATTCATTGTTGTATATGTTGAAACTAATTCTTTCAGTTTATGCCTTGTAAAGTTACACTACACCAATGGTGTACATGGGCTCCAGAATCCTGGGGAAACAAATAGCATATGGACCAATCGCTGGTCACCGGTTACCACGGGACTGCATCACCTGACATTGCTTCACTGCCTTGTGGATTAGACGTTTAGGTCAAAGACTTGGGGCGTGGCACCCCTCAATAAAACCACTTGTATCGGATTGGGCACTAGGGCAGTATCCCAGCCCACACATAAATCGAATGATTTATGTGGCTCATATCTGTTTGGTGCCTCCTTGTACCAATCTTTATGTGTTTAAACAAATAAATAACACTATATTCATACGATTTTTCAAGCATTTGTTGATGCATAAATTCTGACGTGTATTTTGATGGTCAATGAGTTTGTAATGTGATGTAATCTGTGGATATTTTTGCAGTTTTTGTCCTTGTTCACATCAACGTCTTGACTACAATAAGTCTCTTCGTAGCCCAACACTTATTTAGTGTTTTCAAGATGCGAACTAACAGATTTATATACAAGGATGAATAGTGGCTAACAGTGAAACTCAGGACACGCGTCTCGTCCTATCTAGCACTCGTTAGCTGGATGTACCTGAATCTAGGAGTTGATGTTCACTCTGGGACTCGAACTCAGTACCGTTCATTTCAAACACCATCCACTTAGCTACTACTGAGTCCTGACAGTCACTTGTTTGTATAATGGGGTGAAGTTTAAATTCACTTGGTATTGTTTACTTGAATCTTCCCATTGATGTTTAGAACTGCACATAGAGTAATATCTTGTAAGATTTGGATGAACTATAAATTTGTACAGGGTAGAACCTGTCAAAATATCCACGGGCAGTGAAATTATGTTTCTTAACTGCTTTTCTACATTTCTATATTATATTTATATGATATATTCAGTGATTTTTCGGTTTGTTCAGTCATTCAGCTTCAAATTAATTTTTATCCATAAAATAATTTCCCAAATAACTTGATCATTTTCTAATGGGATAGTAATACCTTTGAAAAAGAAGATGTGATAGCAACTTGTTAACCTCTTAGAACTATGTTTCAGATATTAGAATTTATAGTTATTTGGCTTAATAGAAACTATTATTCATTATCATACAGTCATAACTAACTAACTAACACATGTTGTATAGGACGAATAACAAATGGTTTCTATAAGTATTTCATGTATTTTTACTCTTTTTAATTCATTCATTCCTTATAATTTTGACTGTATTCTTCCTCGCCGTAATTGATAATGATACTGTTTCGACTATTTTGATACTTACCTTATCAGTTTTGTCTTTATGCGATGATGGGGGGTGGTGGTGGTGGTATGTTGAATTGAGTTAGCTCATATTTGTGCGAGGTTTTATATTGATAACGACTAACTGATTGACCTGGTTAAAATTGTACTACACATCTTAAATTAATTGTCAATAATATTCAAGATATATTTATGTATAATAATTATTATTCAATGATTAGCTTTAGTTCTGAAAGCAAGGAGTCTTCGGACAACATTGTAGATCGTGAATTGGTTATATTTCGTCGACCATCCAATGTTTCCTCCGGAGAATGTAAGTAAAGTTTGATGCACTTCCACATTGTTATATATAGACTACTGGAGATAGGAAATCAAAACAGTTGTTAGACATATTTTGTGCTAATATCCCTGAATGTTATGTTGATAAATTCACCTTCTATTCTACAAGTTTGTGAGTTTTCTGAAGGTTGCGAATATTTCTTACAAATCAGTTTAAATTGACATACACTCAGATCAAGGAATTCCTGTGAATATGTCTAAGTATCCAATTTAATTTAATTTCCAAATATTCAGAGATACTTTACTTGGAGGTATACCTGTTGAGATGATTTTCAAAATGGGTTGGAAACTCTTTTTAATATCGTGCTCATAATAGAATCAATACATTGAAGCTTATTTTTTAAAGTGTTTTAAATCTCACCAATAATGAAGCGTATTATCTCCCACAACACTTTAAAGATTAAGTGCCGAAGACTTATTGTGTTTTAGGCGTTGATCTTCGTTCATTATGTGAAATACGAGTGGTCGTTACCATTCAGCCTCCTATACTGTAGTAGATAATGAGAGGTAGGGGAGGGTTAATCTGTAATGTGTTTTTTTTGGGACAAAGCTAGATACACAATTAGGGACTCGTTCCTAAATAACCATAAATACTACTACTATCAGTCACAGAATTTTCAGTTATTCATCTCCATATTGAATTTCTACGTATTTGGTGTTAGATATCAGAAATGAATTCCAAATATGAATCTTAGTGGAACCTTGGTTTAGTTCAACTTAGTTAACTTAATATATGTTGCTACACTTTTGAAGGAAACGATGATAAAGTGTGATAACGAGTCAAGTTTACAAGATTATGCTAGTAGGTTTATTTAACTGTCATTAAATGAATGATTTATAATCTCCCAGTCGATAATCTATGAATTCATCAATCATTACCTATTACTGATTTTATTTTCACTGAATTTCCTTAATTTTCTATGATTAACGAGAAGGAGTTGGTGAAAATGTATTGTTATGTATAGATAAATATAATTATAGATATGTACAACAAAATGCCTTCTCATGGCGGGGGTGTTGTTTACGAAAATGAGAGGACGAAAAGCGAATGTCCGGCGCTTTAACCGGATTCCAAAACAATAGTGAACATGGGCTTCAGTATCCTGAAGGAACAAATGGCGTATGAACCAATAGTTGGTCACCGGCTTCCATGGGACTGCATCTCCTTACGATGCTCCACTGCCTTGTGAATCAAACCTTCAGGTCGAAGGCTCGGGAAGTGGCCTCCTAAGAAAACCACCTGCTTCGGTTTTGGCACCCGGGCAGTATCATAGCTGTCACACATATCGAATAAGATTTGTGTGGTGCATATGTATTTGGCGCCTCCTTGTACCGATATCTATGTGTTAAAATAAATAAATAATACAACAAAATGCTATAACCAGTATTAGTATTTTAATCTTCTTTGGTTGAATTGCTCAATCGAATTCAATTTACAACTGTCCTTGTTTCAACTCTACCTATAAGCATATTTGTTGTTTATGTCTTAAGTAAATTACTGTCTTCATTCAAAATAGTTATTCACTTTTAACAATGGAATTACCGTTTTATTAAATGGCATTCTATGATATGAATTTAAGGAGAATCTTTTATCAGTGTTAAGGTTTAGAGATATTCACGATAATCAACAGCTGACAATGTAGGTCATTATGACCATTGTAATGAACAAGAACACTATTGGGGACAACCAAATGTATTTGAATACAACATTATAGAATATCTTGGTAAAATCTGAGAACCATACAGTAAATACTTCATTTGCAAAATATCCATCAACTGTCTCCGACTTTGCTATTCCTTCGTTTCCATACCAATTACTCTCTGTTCTCGTTTTCATCTCTTGGACTTTCTCAACTTTCTGCAGCTAGGCATCAATAGCACACACCACACAATATCTACTGTAATGTGCACCACTTATGCTGACAGAAATAAGTAATATGTAGCAGGAATCAGAAGTAGAATGCTTATCAACAGAGGAGTCAAATAACGAGAAGAGAAAGGAAAACGATAAGCAATCAGATTATCAACAGGATCAGAAGATTGATGAATTATGTATAGGATAATTGAAAGAAGATACACAAATGATGTATTTAACGTATGTTCTTTCGTATTTTACAGAGGCGCTGTTTGATTTTGCTCAAAACAATAAATTGGTTTATCGTATCTGAGCTTTCGTTCACTGTACTATTACTAATTCAAATCGGTTGTTGAGCTTACTTTTCATAATAACCGTCGTTCGTCTCACTGACACAATAGGTTACTTTAATTATCTGGAGAATTTGGACACTTTTTCTCAAATTTTTGTCTCATTCATTTTTCTCCCTTTATGTTGATATCAATTGTAATAACGTGAACTGTGTACACCCATGTAGTGCACACGAACTGACATTTCTACATCTTATGCTTCTTATATGTGTCTCATCTACTCTGTAATGGAGTTAAGAAAGAACAAATTCTGATGAGAGACTAAGCAGTAGTATTTAGTGTAGTAGTCTAAAACCATCAAATTCTTAAGCTTATTTTATTTCTAAAAGTAAAAACTATTGAGAAATCAATGACTTAGTTGATTAAAAGTTTAGTATATCATGTTCTAATAAACTTTTATTCTTTCTTTTTTTTATTTGTTAACACCTCTGTTAATGAAATAGCGTTTGTTGACGATTTACCGGATGAATTCTTTGAACACACTGAAGAAGATATACGTAAATTAATGCGTTCATATCGTAATGAATGGTAAGTTGTATAAACCATTTAAGGAATCATATTAAACAATCAAAAATGCTAGACCTCTCGCATTATACTTGTGAGGTTAGACGTAGGGTATTAGTGAGTAATAGTAAATCAGTTGGTGAGGTTGTAAAACTCCATCGACTAAGATGGTTGGGCCACATGTTACGTATACCTGAACTCCGATTACCATGACGCGCAATGCTAACTAGTGTTGGGGATGGTTGGGAGAAAGTAAGGGACGGACAAACCAAAACGTGGCATCAGTCATTGAAGTCACTAACTTCTAGTCTGAGCCATGTTGGTAGATGCAGACTACTTGGTTGGGGTCCGCATGACTATCGTAACCAATGGTTGGAGGCTGTGGGTGACATGGCTCAGAATCGATCACAGTGGCGTAAGTGTATACACTTTCTGTCTTCCCTTAAAATTGCTTTATATCTTTCTTTCTTCCTGCACTATGTCCTTATACACAATCTTTCTTCTAAATATTACTACCATTGAAATAACTACTGTGAATTTGGTATCCATCTTGTTGTGCTAATGAGGTATGACAACTTAGACCGATGCATATATGTGCCTGCTCCTACGTTGTAGCTGACTGACTGATTATTCTTGTCGTACAATCAAAAAATTTCAAAAAAATCTCAGTTGTCAGTTTTGCTTTTGATGTATGTCACAGGAAGTAGGTTGACTTTCCGTATATATTAGGTGAAATGTGAATGGATAGTACTTTCAAGGAGGGATTATTTGAATCTCCTGCTTAGAAATCGACGTTGACATAGATCATTATCCTAATAAATTTGTATATTTTAGTAAATTTGGTTCACTGATATTTGTTTTTCTGTAATTACTAGAGTCATCATATTAAGGTTGTATGTTCTTCATAGTATGGCTATACTGTTTCACTTCTTTTTTGTTTTTCATTACAATTATAGCTTCAAATCGAAATTTCTTTCATCAGTTCACTTTTTTTTCGTTTTGCAGGGCGGAAAATCAACCTCTTCAAACATCGACTATGCGTTCAGAAGCTCGTCATAAATCCTATTCTAAATATTATCGAGCTATTATTCAATTTCACTGGGTTGATAATCTTATTGTTCAAGCATGTTTCCTTCCTACTGAAAAAGGTTTGTTTTTATAGTAATTTTTTTTTCTTAAGACTATTTGTAATTATTTACTTATTTCATTTTACTTAATGCAATAAGTCATCAGTCCAAACTGTCACATAGTGATGGTACAACAAAGACTATGGTCAACTTCATAATAATTTAAATGGAATGCTTCTTAAACTGTATTTACGAAACTCCCCATTTTTTTAAAAAAAAGTTTCATGTTAACCTTCGATTCTGTTGCGTGAAATTAATTCATGATTACAATGAGTAGGGACTTCATCTGCTATGAATCCATATAAAGAACCATTTAGATTTAATTTGATAATGTCAGCCAGTCATTATCAATGTACAGCCTAGTGCCGACGTGTATTGCTGTAATTTGCATTATTGGATTAGCACGACGAAATGAAGTTGGTAAAATGTATGATTTGGTAAAAAAGGTCAGAGTAATGTGGTAACAATGACAATGGAAAGGACTAAGCATTAAGAATAGGGTTTGAAAAGACAGAGTGGAAAGATATATGTGGAGAAATAGTCGAATTCAAGATTGAGATCAAGGGAAAAATGAACGCATCTGAAGCATTATGAACGATTCTAAGCCATTTTACCTTAAGTCTCCAACCATTGATGAACGCCATCTAAGTAGGCTGCATCTACCAACATGGCTCAAACCAACAGTCGGTGATTTTATGGGTTGGAGCTATTATCTTGGTTTGCCCACCCCTGACTTCATTCTAACTTATTCATACTCCAGGGAATACCATCTATTGAGGTGGGTTGCTACGTTTGACGAGACCTTTCAATCACCTAAAACCGGCGAACGGAACGAAAGTCAACAAAACAGGACATCTAGCTATTCCACTGCGTCCCAACCCTGCTAACGATGAATACACCATATAAAAGGCTTGGAGCTTTAGGTATCTGATTTAATCAACTGATGCCAGTCAGTAAGTTATCATCAGCATAAAGCCTAGACCCACGGATGCATGTTGACTCAAGTCGTTACACACCATTAACTTGACCTTGAGTTACTTCGATAGTACACAATGTCTTACAAGTAGAAACCACCTACAGTCAACAAATATCAACTAATTTATTCAATAAAGGTTCACAGGGTCTTCAACTTATCATCCTTCTACCTACTACAAACCTTAACATTACTCAGATATGAATTATCATATGGCTGATAAGTAACGAACTGTTATATCCCGATAAGAATAATGAATGGTAACTTTTGGGATCCATTTATGGATCGTACAATTGTTAGATAACTAAACTATTCGTATTCGTGTTCCTCTTATTATGAGCTTTATTTTGACCTATGAACTATTATTATACGTTTTACCATTCTTGAATTATGCCCTGTCTATTAATCACTACCTCCCTCATTCACAGCCATTTTTGGCCAAATCTTGTACAAATGTTGTTTTCTATTTTATGGTACGTTGTGGTCCGTCTGGTTGTTATATAAACTTAGTATGCTTGAAATACATGATTCATATCGCAGAGGCTCAGATTAGTGTTCTGGACTTAGCTGGCTGGGCTAGGCAGGAAGCAGGACAATAAGGACTCTAGAATGCTCGCACGGGTTTTATGCATCATTGGTTCAATCGATAATTCACTGTTCTCTGATTGTGGGTATCATTAAGTTATACATTAACAGGGCACACAGGCCACGAGTTATAACACGAACAAAAGGTATATTCGTTTAAGAATAATCTTTATTTTACTGTCTCCCTACATAATTTATGAAGTCATCTATTTAAACTTCCATTTTCTTACCAGAAAGGTTTGGAGAACCATTGAATGCATAATATCGCTGTAACATGTTTATTCGCATAAATTCTAGGCTTCTCATTAGTGTAAACTACGTTACAAAGTATCAAATCTAAGAACCATAGTTCACACTTGAAACGGTACAATTCAATCAATGAGTTGATATTCGATGGACCATAGTCATTAAATTCATTCAATACACTATAGACAACGAACAGTAATCGTAAAATGTTGTGTATGAACTATTTTCAGTCTCAACTTGTTTGACTAAAGTGAACATGGCTTCAAAGTAAAACTTAATCTCTCCAAACTCTATACTATGATATCGGTTATGTTTAGCTCTCTTCAAGTAAGATATTGGTACACCAGGTAGACAATTAGTTTTTCATATTTTCGTTATCTAAAAGTGTATGAATGGTTACTGCTATTATCGATCTATAGTATCATACTTTGTATCTCCACTGTTTAATTGTTGTTCAGACACTTTGATTCCATCATTAACCGTTCTAATGTAAGTTAAGCTCCATAATTTAATAATGTAGACCTGTGGATTAGTTAATCTGTTGTGATAATCGATTTTTTCTATACTTGTCTTTCATAGTATCAGCATTATATAAATTTATTCGTGATCTGCAAAATTCTACTTGTGATTTTAAACTATGTAAGTTGTTTGTTACATGGTCCTTTTGTGTATTGTGTTAAATTACAGTTTTTTCCTTTTTCTTTTTCAATGCTTCGGTTATTGTTAATGTGACTTTTGTCAGTCAGTCAGTAACAACGTAGAACTTTGTACGTACATCAGTTCTAGTTGCCATACCACATTAGCACACAGATACAATTGTCGATTCAAATCCTCTAGTTATAGAGGTAGTAAAAGTATAGGTAGTAATCGGAAAGATTAGGGTTTGAAGATGTTATTCAAGGAGTATAATCCAGTGAAATAAATTTGGAAGGAAAAAAAGAAAAGTACATGAAGGATTCAGATTATAATTTGGAAGAACACAAAGAGTGGATGCACCTACACCATTGCAAACGATTTTGAGCTATGTCATTCAAGGTCGCTAACAATCGGTTTCTGTCGTCTCACGGATCCCAACCAAGTAGTCTACACCTACCAATATGGCTCAGTCCATTTATGAGTGACCTCATAGATTTGTTCTATATTTTGGTCTGGTCGCCCCTAGCTTTCTTCCAAAATACCCCTACACTGTGAAGCATCGCACGTCTTGGCAGTCGGTGGTTGGGCATACGTAACATATGTCCCAGCTATCCCAACTGATGAAGTTTCATTACTTCATCAATTGATTTGTCATCCTTACCTAGTACCCATTTCCTAAGAATTGTTACTTGATCGATGGTCCCAGGATATACGAGCAATGCTTCGAAGACACCTATGATCGAATACTAGTAACCTACGAATATTCTCTACTCTTACGGGCCATGTTTCAGTGCCATAAAGTAGGATGGAGTGAACTACTGCGCAGTAAAGCGTCATTTGGTTGGTAGACGGATATTTCACCTACTCCATAAATAACTCAAGTTGGCAAAAGCTAATCGAGCCTTCTGTATCCGTGCTGTAATTTCATCACATATCAGGCTACAAGGGCTGATGAGACTCAAGATAAGTGAAGCGGTCAACCCGCTCAACTACTTCATTCCCTGTCATTAGTTTAGATGTCAATGCAACCCAATCCTGAACCAACATTTCGCATTTCGAGGGAGAGAATCGCATGCTGAGCATGCTTGCATTGTTGCTTAGAGTGGTCAGAAAATCGCATTTTACCAGCGTCTTCACCAAATAGAACTATGTCAACAAGTGAATCTCTCGGTAGAAGTTCAACCCCTGGAAATTTAGATGAGGAATGTGTTATCTCTAAACGCATGTCTACGATAAAGTTAAACAAGAATGGAGAGAGTTGACAGCCCTGAAAAACACCACTTAAGGTAATCATTTCTGATGACAGTTCGCCATAAGCTCTCACTCGACCAGTTATGTTCGAGTACAGAGCCTTTATAAGGTTAATGTACTTCTTTGGTACTCCTTTCAGTGACACTTTTGTTCTTTTAAATCATTTGATGAACATAAACAAAGAATCACTAGTACGTTTTTCAGTACTGAATTAATGAACCACTACTCACTCTACTTATTATCTTCAGTAACACTTGTATACTCTGTGCATGAATACAGAATGAATGATAACTGTATATGCTTGATATAATAAGGGGAAAATTGATAAATCATAATCAAACCGATTAGTAACTTATATGTACTGAACAGACCAACATGAGTTCGTTGTTAGTTATTTTAATAAACACTTCAAATCAAATAAGTATTTATTATTATTTGATAAATTCTTAAGTTTTCCATATAGATTAACTAAATAATAATAAATGAAAATTTGTATTATGACGTATACTACTTATATCGACATAAGTAGTATGTATATAACTCGAGTTAGGAATAGAATGTCTGACAGCAGAAGATTGAGAAGATCGAGAAGGGAAGAACGGGAACAGAAAGCAATTGGTATGGAAGTGCATGAATAATGAAATCTGAGACAAATAATCAACAGTTTGCACATGAAGTATTAGAGTATGGTTACCAAATAACTCGGTAATTTTGTGCTAAATATAATTCAGTTGTCCTCACCTGTGTTCACCTTCACTACAGTATGAGTCCTAAAAAAGATCCTTATCAAATTAATAAACTAACAACAGATTCTATTGTGAATGAAGTAAGATAATTAAAAAAATTTATTACTATAATACAAGAAAATAGAGAAAGAGAGGGGGTCGAATAAATGAACTAAATAATCATATTTCCTAGTTGAAAGTTCTATCAAGATCGTATAATTGATAAAATATGCTTTAGATCAAACAATTCACACAAGAATATATTCAGCTTAGTTTCCTCAAGTCTACCGTTTTCAGGATTCATCTAACAGTTGAATAATTATAGATGTGAATAACACTATATATTAGTCAAGTTGATTTCTCTTTATCCAATGAGTTCATCTTAACCCATTTAAAAACTTGGAATCCACACTAATAGTACATATGTACTCCAGAAAACTTGGGGAACAAATAACTTAAGAATTCACTCAATTGGATTCCACCTTGTGACGTCGCTCCACTGCATTGAAGAATAGGTCTTTAGTTCAAAGACTCAGACAATGGTTCTTTAATAAAACCACTTGGTTCAGTTTAGACATCCAAACAGTGTCAAGACCGTCACATTGATAATAAAATTTCCCATTGAAGATAGATTATTCGGTAGTTTATCCAACGTTATGTCACACTGTAAGTAAGTTGGGAAAAGAACATGGGGTTAAAATAACAAACATTAAAAACGCCGAACTTCCGTCTCGTTCTAGTATTGAATTTCGATTCATTCACCATTGGTTCCTGGCTCAGTGGTTTGGTCGTTTAAGTGTTCACACGCGAAATCGAAGATCCTGAGCTTGGTTCCCGGTTTTGGGATTGCTGATTCCTTTTCCTGAGGATTCCTATATTACGACAAAATGCCTGTTCAATGCTTCTAGATTTTCAATGATTGTGTAACTTGGACCAGTTCATGATCTCAATAAAACTGTCAATAGTTTAACAGCCTATAAATTAACCAAAATATTAGATTAGAATATAATTTTCGTTGATTAATGACAATAGACTGAACGTATAAATCAGTACCGAGTATGTCAGTTAGATTTTTTCAACTTTACAATTATAACAATCTTAATCTGACTACACTTTTCCGATCTATCCTCATTGTCTTTTTCCTTGTCATAGACAATTTTCTTTCTTAAAAAAATAGTGACATAGCAACAAAACGTATTTCATTAATCGTTACATTTTCATTGTATACTGGAGTTTGGAGTGTTACCAAAATAACTTATATAATCGGAATCTTATATGGTGGATTAGAAAATTGTTATTTATATAAGTCTTAGTTTAAAACCAAAAAAAAAAACGAAACAAAGAGAGGAGAGATTATCCGTTCAAGCATATAAACACATTTAGATTGACTGCATCCTATGATGCAGTTGACTATTTTAGTAAAGCCCCCCCCAAAAAAAGTAATAAGTACAATGAATTACAGTCCTATTCGAATTTTGATTAATGGAATATTAAAAGATAGAAGACACTTGACAACTCTATATTCACTATACAATTTGAAGGAGGTAACTTGTTATTTTTTTTATTTATTATTTTATTTATCTAATTTACGTTTTATCAGTCTGAAAATCTCATATTCATTCATAATCATACATGTTCTAACTAAATATCATTCATTTTAAGAATGGATTCTATTCATCTATAAAACGATGTGTATCCAAAACTGTCATATCAATTGTACAAATTAGTTTTACAGAATGGATCACTATTGTTAAACAACGTACAGGAAACTTAAGTACTAAGTATCTTATTCATTCTCATTATTTAATAAACTTTAGATACTTAATCTCTGGTATTAATAGTTTGTACACAATCAGTATATATTTCTTTCTCTCATCATAATCGGATAAATATATTTGTATGGGGTTGTGGAGATTATTAGGTTTTTAATTGAGATCATGGATCGATTGTGAGACTCCTCAGCAGTGTGCATCCGCGGTCCCGCTTGCGGGATTCGAACTCAGGATCTTCAATCTCGCGCGCGAACACCTAACCTCTGGACCACTGAGTTGGCACCCAACGATGTTAATGTCTAACTTCAACTAATCCACGAAGTTGCGCGGCCATCTGTCATTGTCTGAGGTAGATACCTGTCTCTACCCGACACGGAACAACTTCACTGGTCACTTCTCATTATAACTCCGATAATTCCCTCACGAAGCTAGTCACTAGTGTGCACATGGTAATTATCAGTATATGGTTGTGGAGATAGTCAGGTTTTTGATTGAGATCATGGATCGATTGATGTTAGAGTACCCGCGAGCGGGATCTTGTATGCGCACTGCTGAGGAGTCCCACAATAGAATGAAATGGCCGTCCAGTGCTTCCAGGTTTTCAATAGTAATCTAACATGAATCGATACATGATCTCAGTCAAAATATATTTGTACTTGATTTATTGGTTTCCTTTTTTTTTCTATCTAACATCAATAGAATAGTATTTCATTTCATATGTATAATTGATCATCCATTGTTATCTGTTGCTTTTTATAGATACTACTCCGCCTAAATTGTTTCTATCTGATACAAATATTACATTGATTGAAGTGAGTGTGGAAATTTTCTTCTGTTATACATTTTTTTATTTGTTCAAAGGGTGTGTTTTTTTTTCACAAAGATAATTTAAGGAATATTTATGGTATGTGTACCAATTGAATACATAACACTGATTTTTCACTGCATCCTGGTTACTCAAAAATCTCTTCCAGTTAAACCGTGAAAAGAAAAGAGAAATCTGAAACTATCTAAGTCACTTTTACTTCCTAAATTAATATATGTACAGAAGACAGAAGTATTTATTGGTTTATTTGTAACATTTGATATTCTGGAAGTTTTTTTTTGAAAATATATTCAAGTTAGTAACAAAGTCATAGTATAACACATGAGCCATCGTTATTCTAAAATTATCTGAGAAGTTCCTATCAATATTTAGATTCCATAACATACAAACCTAAGTGATTTGTATTTATAAAAAGTTTCAAGTTTCACTGCTGAGGAGTCCCACAACAGGACGAAACGGCCGTCCAGTGTTTCCAGGTTTCCAAAGGTGGTCTAACATCAATCACTTCATGATCTCAATCAAAAACTTAATAATCTCCACAATTCCTATACTAGTAATTAACATTTGCTCACTAGTGACTAGCTTCGTGAGGGAATTATCGGAGTTCTAGTGAGAAGTCGTGACCAGTGGAGCTAATCCCTGTCGGGTAGAGACAGGTATCTACCTCAGTACAATGGAAAATGGTCGCGCAATTTCGTGGATTGGTTGATGTTAGACACTATCACCATTGGATGCCGGCTCAGTGGTCCAGTAGGTTAGGCGTTCGCGCCCGAGACCGAAGGCCCTGAGTTCGAATCCCGCGAGGCGGGATCGTGGATGTGCACTGCTGAGGAGTCCCACAACAGGACGAGACGGCCGTCCAGTGCTTCCGGGTTTCCAAAGGTAGTCTAACATCAATCGGTTCATGATCTCAATCAAAAACTTAATAATCTCCACAACCCCTGTATTAGAAATTGAATTCAATTGTCTACACAGAATGTTGAATTCTTTGTAGCATGATCTGAACTAATTGTCTATGTTTGGTAGTCGGTAAATAAAAAAGAAATTTACTAAGATCTATTTCATTTTCGAATGTTATTTGATGTACCATCGAATGTGTAGTACATAAAGAGTCTATTTGAATTCACTCAACTAATGAATTGTATTTTCTAAAACGTAGTTTATTCTTACATATTTTTCTTTATTTACGTGTATTACATTTATTATGCTTTAGGCTGATTTAGTACCTTTATCAAAAGTATTTTATCATCCTACTGACATATCAGCTGATAATGGTAAGTAGTATAAATCATTTAGTGAGTAGTGTCTAATATCATTTACTCTTTTAAATTAATTGTTATTCAAAAATATTTATTTGAACATATAAACATTGGTACAAGGAGGAACCTAATAGATATGCGCCACATAAATCATTCGATATGTGTGCGGGCTGGGTTATTGCCCGAGTGCCCAAACCGAAGCAGTTGGTTTTCATGAGGGGCTACACCTGGAGCCTGTGATCTAAAGGTCTAATCCACAAGGCAGTGGAGCAACGTCAAGAGATGCAATCACATGGTAGCCGGTGACCAACAATAGATTCATACGCCATTAGTTCAATCAGGATACTGGAGCCAATGTGCACCATTGGTTTAGAGTTGGGATTTTTCAACTCCCTTAGATGGACTCTCCGTGTCCACCAACTAGGCTAAGGCGACGGACATTCGCTTTTCGTTCTCTCACTTTCGTAAACAACACTCGTGGTGCGAGAAGACAGCGAGTAGAACTTCTCTCGGGGCGGTTGTATGCACGTGGCCACTTGAGAGCATTTGTAGAGAGAGAGAGAGCTGACTCTCCCCACTCTCGACCGTACCAGAGCATTTGGGCGTCTTTTGACTTAATGCCTGTCAACAAGTCTTATTTAGCCTATTTAACTAGTATTTAAGTAGGTAATCATTTAACAGTGTACGTGTGTGTGTGTATATGAACGAACAAATTATTTGAAAAGTAGTGTTTATTCAGCGATTATTTTTCTTGGTTGATGGTTTTTTTTTGTTTTTCACTAAAAACCGCATTTATTAATAATATTTTTTTAATGTAAGTTGTAAGACTCCATGATCTTCAGTTAAAAGGCGATTGTATTTATAAGGTTTTATTTAATTATTGTTATTTCGAACTGCAATTTATCAATCTCTATCGGTGTATACACATTCGGACCGGATTCCTCCGTTTTCGCCTCATTTATTCACAAGGTTTAGTAAAGTTAAAATGTGGCTAGTAGTAAAATCGAAGAGATGCGTTTCGCCCTATGTTGAACTTGAGTGTGAACATTAACATTGGAATACTGGTACACCTAACTGATTAATCCCAAATAAAACGTTATATATGTTGTGGATTTTAGTACCAATCACACTTTAACTCTATTAAAACTTGTGGTTTGATGATTATATGGAGACAATCTGCTTAGGATACAGATATGTCAACGAAAACTAATAAGAACAACGGGACATTCCAAATTCCTACTAATGCCTGCACACTCGGACCAGTTAGTGTTTATCTGGACTAAGTAGCTCAGTGGATAACGCGTCAGCGCTTCAAGCGAAAGTTAGTGTCTTTATTTGTCGTCATGACCATTATTTTAGATGCAGATACATTCAGCTTCCAAGTTCTAAATAGGACAAAACGAGTGTCATGAATTTCACTGTTAGTCACTACCCAAATGAATTCATGAGATCTATTTATGGTTTGATAATATACATTAATAGCAGATCTGACATTTACTTGCCTATCTAGATGGTACAAAAAAGTAGTTCGACTAGACTTATCGGCAGTACATACAACTATACTAGGAGTCAAACCTTTATATTTTGAAGCGAACGCATTAGCTTGATTTTATGAAGTCAAAACTCAGTGATTCGAATTTCTAATTTCAGTAAATTCGTAATTTAGCCTGGTTATCATCCAGTGTCACTGTTGCCCTCTCAGTATTGTTGAACTCCACCAGTAATAACTTCTAAAAATCAAGGAACTCATCTAGAAGTTTAACTTGATCTCTGATAGAAACTCAACAGTGAACATACAGCAAATAGTCAGTCGTTGAGGATTTCTTCTGCTTCTGGGTCACTTTCTTAAACATAGATTCTTTCATGTTTCCAGCATGTTTATTGTTTAATGGATCACAAAGAAATCAAATCAAATATTTGTAAACTGCCATTTCTTTTATTTCTAAGTTGTCTTTAGGTAGCGGATGTTCCTTCCATTATGATTGTGTGATCATCGTAAAATGGTAAGGTTATATGATCATCGTCGATAATTTCACTCTCCTCATTCTTAAACTGATAACACCATATATTGCAAATAGTCATTCACTAACTACTAGTTTACATCAACTGCATTTTTTATTCAATTTTGGTGATTACATCATTAATAGGGTCAACTTATTCTCATTCAATAAAGTCAAATAATTAAACAGTGATATTCTATTTTGCTTTCATTATATAGTTCTGAGATCAGATATATTAGATAAAGCCAGTGAAGAGAATATTAATAAAGCTCAGTCAGTTGTTACCTACTGGTATGTTGTTTGTCTCATTTATTTATTTATTTATTTAGTAATTATCTGTAATATTTGTTTTTATTTTCATTATCACCTTAATGTAAATTGTTTGGTAATGAATTGATCCTATTGGAGATTATTTGCTTTCTTTTCGAGGTAGTAATAAGTGATTAAACGTATACTCTCAGCCAAGTATCTAACCGATTATGAATATTTGTCAAATTCTTGAAATCTATCTAGATCCTGATAACGAACGGAACATTTAAAAGTAAATTATTGTCACTGTGACCAAATATATTCTCGAATCTCAGCACTACTAACATGGTGTTGCCGTTGGATAAGAGCGATTCTTCAGAGGTTATGATGATCAAACACAGAGGGTCGTCTAACATTCTCATTTTAGAAGGTTTAAGTTTCACAAACATAGATCGAGATTACTGACTCTAATCGGTTGTATACCTGGCTACACTAACATCATGACGGTTTTAGAGCTGATCCAGATCGGATCAATCTCTCTGGTTCTCAACATAGGTAGGTTGGTTTCGGTTTTCACACCACCAATAACACTTTAGCATTTACCCGAACACACGAAAGTTCCTAATATTTCTAAATGGTTTGGATTTATAGATCCGAAGTCATACTTATGGACACGAATTAACAAATGATTAATTACAATTTGGAAAACCTGTCTATTATCACAGAAAGATGACAGTTTATGAAGTTCGTCTTGGGCAGAAACAGGTTGTTATCCATGTTGAGGGAGTACCAAAATTATCCCTCGTGAAAGTCCCAGAGGCCCAAAAACTAAAAAAAAATCATTTTTTCCAATAGGCGTTAAAAAGGATCTTCGCAGTAACATCAGAAAATGTAAAACCATGTTTCGCGGTTTTGACTGAATATTTACATATGCTGCTACCATATTTTTTATGGTTCCAGAAATCTTCAAAAGCCCAAGATCGTGCATAATTATAAATAACCTCGTTTTTCTATACATATACCAACCTTGGAATAAAGCTTTTATTCTCAATTAGCGTCTTCTGTTTCGCGTTCTAGTTGACGTATAGAAGTATTTGCTGATATTAGAAGGAAGTTTAAGCGTGTCTGTAGTAAAACATCAATCCGAATATAGTTCTTACGGAGCCGTTTAGCCCAACAACACATAGATGCCTTTAACGGGGATCCACTCTAAAAGTGCTTGTTCTGCCCTCGTACTTGGTGCTATTCCTACACCTGCCAGTCCACGAGAACTAACCATCGGGTCGTCAGACACATGGAGGTTGTATCTCGTCGGCTCTCCGTTTCGGCGAGGTGAGGTCAAGTGAATTAGCACACTAGGATCTTGTATGCGTGTTTCGGAGACACAGCATAAATCAGTGGTTCGACATTCTAGAATCTTAGCCAAGGAGGTCTGATGGCCGATTTGACACAGAATGCGTACGTTGAAGGCTCCAATATGTAGTTTGGAGTAAGGTTTTAACAGACCTTGGACATTGTTTTGCTCACTAGGATCGTTGGCTATGGTGACACTTGAGGAGGAAGCCAAAAGAGGAAGTTTACTGTTGAAAGTCGATGTAGGAGAAATAATAGGAATAGAAGAGGGAGATTGAATACAGTGATATTGAGTACTGTTAGGCATATGAGGGCAGTTATCACTTCCCGGTTGCCCACACCGTGGAAGGGTTCTTCTGGAGGTACCTGAAAATGACACGGGGTTATAGTTGATCTTAGTGATATGAGAGCGTGACCGTAGTGCCCAAGGGACAACTGCTTGAGGTCGATTACACACGAACTTTCTGTGAATAGTTTTCGTGTTAGCTCCATACTTGTTTAGACCTTGCCACCGGAGACGGATATCCGTGGGATCAGGTGAGGTGTGCATTTTAAGGTCGACCTTTTCTAACCCCACCCCTTCTTGTGGGAAGGCAGCATCACTGTTATGTTGGTTGTCTGATGGAAACAGCTTACTGCTGTCACACCTCTGTACAGTCAGCAGTACGACTTCGCCTTCGAACCTTGGGTTTAATGCTTTTGGTCTAACCGTTCTTCAACCCACCTATCTGGCATGGTAGGACCTTGAGGAACGATTTTTCCAGCCAGTATAGCTCGATTGGTTCATCACGATAGGCAAGTCCGATCACCAGGTCAAGGTAGCAGAAACTACCATTGAATTAACTACTTCTATGAATTCGGTGTTCATCTTGTTGTGCTAATGAGATGTGGCAACTTAGACCAATGCATATATGTGCCTGGTCCTACGTTGTAGCTGACTGACTGACTGAATACGATTATAGGTTCAGAAATATTTTCCTGTCGTTTAATATATATTCATCTAATCTCTATCGGGTACTCAAACAACCCTCTGTGTGTGTGTTGACTACTTACCTGCACATACAAGTCTCTCGATAGCATTATCTGTCTAACGCGCTTTATTGAGATCATTTTGTTGATGACAGAAATGAACTTTTTCACTGGATCTGGGTTACAATCTGTCAGGGTATATGTGAGGATTTCAATAATACTCGGATTATGTGAATTGATTCTACTATCTTAACGATAAACTACTTTTTTCCATTAAGCCTATGGGTATGGAAAGTTTAAGAATTTTTACTCAGTTGCTGATTGTAAAGTAATTGATAACATATTTAAATTTTTGAGCATATTGGTTATAGATTCACTGAATAAACCATTAAATTACACTCTCAATATTTTTTGTTCATTTCTATGTAAATAGGATGAAAAAATCACCAGCCGACAACTCAATTCAAAACAGTTCGTCTCAAAGGGATATTGACACTCAGAAAAACTTAAGACGCACTGATAGACCTGCTTCTAATTCATGCAGTGTGCCAAAGTGGCTGAAATTAAGTAAGTTCTTCGTGTTTTCAACGGATATTTACTGTTTTTAATTATGTAATGGAACTTTTATTCCGTCGAAAATCCCACTCGTAAAATTCCAAGTATTCACCAATTAATTGTCGGTAGGTAGGTAGGTGGCAGGTGGGTTGATAAGATTCTCTACAAGTGTTTCTGGTGTTTTATGCTCAATGTTCTTGGTTAGATTGTTAGAATGACATGTATTTAAGAAGTGATTAATGTAACTGTATTATTCCATATTATATTTTATCCTGCTTTCTTTGCTCGAGAGTCACTTGTACTGAGTTAAATATACTAGGTCCCACAAACCTTATATTCTTATTATTCATTCTGACGAACGAAGTTCAGATTATTTATAATGTAAACATCGCGTTATTTCAAATTTATATCTATTATCACTCCTAACAAAAGTTTAATTGCAATCTCGAACCACATAATTCTCTGAGATGGTGGAGGTGCACAAAACAAGCTTTGAGACACATATGGAGAAATTCAAGCACTTCACTTCTATCTGAAGTTTGTGCTGATGACGTCGTTCAGAAGAACGATGAAAGCTCCACGACCGAACCATCCAGCTCAGTGAACAAAACTCCACCAACATAATTCTCTGCCGGATATCCTGGGTTAAATACTGTCACTATTCTTTCCAGAGATGTTAAACTTAAGCTATTGACAGTACTCAAATTGTTTCCTTTTACGAATGTTTAGCAGGCAGAGAGAAAATTGAGTTAATATTATGACTACCATGTCTTTGAACAGCTTTTGTTTTAAATCATAACGTTTTTGTTTATTTATCAAGAATTTGTGAATTTCGTCTTTTATTCATTTCTCATTTTCATCTTTTTTTTCTCATTTGTTATTGTTGTTTTTTTATTAGAAAAGTGAATTCAATGAACCGCTGCACAAAGTACAAATGCTTTGTCTGACGTTTGATTACCCTCTTTGGAGGGTATAGAAAATTCCACTGTTTTGCACTGTATTTTGCGAATTCCGTTTGCTTTTCTTTCCTTTGGAGAGATGTTTACAGTGTACCTTTTTTATTTTGACATTATTGAAAATAAATGACTTTTAATGCATTCGACTTCTTATTGACGCCTGTTCCGGTGTTAATTAATTCACTAACCTCATCAGGTTAAATTCCAGGTATACAATAGTTTCAGTGAGATCGTGAACCGATCAATGTTAGACCATTATAGAGAATATGGAAGCAGTGGACAACCATTTCGTCGTAGATTGGGGCTTCTCAACAGTGCTCATCCACGATTTTTATTTATTTATTTGGTCACAAATATTGGTACAAGGAGGCAACAAATATATATGCACCAGATAGATCATTCGATTTGTGTGAGGGCTGGGATACTGTCCGGGTGCCCAAACCGAAACAGGTGGTTTACTTCGGGGGCCACACCCAGAACGTTTGACCTATAGGTTCAATCAACAAGGCATTAGAGCAACGTTAAGTGCAGTTCCGTGGTAGCCGATGACCAATAATAGATTCATATGCCACTTGTTCCCTTAGGATTCTGGAGCCCATATGCGCTATTGGATTGGAGTCGGGGTTTTCCAACTCTTCTAGATGTACTCTCTGTGTGCACCGACCCGGTTAGAGCACCGGACATTCGGTTTTCTTAAAGAACAGTAATACAGCGAGAAGGCAGTGAGTGGGGGTTCCTCGGTAGTGGTGATATGCACGTTGCCATGTGAGAGCATTTGTAGAGAGATAGCTGACTCTTACCTTTCTCGACCGTTCAAGGGCATTTGGGCTCACCCACAATCTCTCGCACGAGTTCAGTCACAGTAGGAAAATTCATACGGTTCCTACTCATCAGAAATTGGTTGTTGTTATTGGTTTACTAAAATACAATATTGGGTCTGGACAAATTGGTTCTTCAACTATGAAACACAAGTGCACAGTGCTCTTTTATATAGTTTATTAGTAATAAATCATATTGGTAAGTGATAATAATGAATCACACCGTTTTATAAATAATGGAATATCAATTGTCGGTACGTATCAGACACGAAATTAAATAGTAATATACTAATTATGCGTTAATGATTGGAGACAGATTATACGGAGTTCTTATTGTCAATCGTTGCGGTGCAAACCGTCGGATTAAGCAGATGCCTACTGGTATAAGTACATATCACTTGTGAAAATAGCTCCTCAACTCAAAGTATGGTAGACACTAGATTCCGACTCATTCATATCGGTTTCAGTGTTCCCTTCCACTCTAATCGAGATTGAACACACCAGAGTCAGTAAATTGAGTTTACTGTAAACAGAGAAATTTCTCGTAAATGAACATTATTTCAGATGTATGGAGCAGCAAAAACAGCAGTTTTCAAACACAAGTCGGTTTTAGGAGAATGTCCGTTAGGAAATTTGTTTGTGGAAGGTGCTTTTGACGAGATTTGATGGCAGTTGTGTGTTTGTGCGTCCACTGTTTGTGTTCTCCCTCCCTTTTTTCTCTTTACAAATTTCACTGGATTATACTCCTTGAATAACATCTTCAAATCCTAGCCTTTCCAATTACTGCTTATACTTTTACTACCTCTACCACTATGGGATTTGAATCGACAATTGCATCTGTGTGCTAATGTGGTACGGCAACTCGAACTAATGTATTCACGTATGAAGTTCTACGTTGTTACTGACTGACTTTGTTGTGGCAAAGACAAAATCATATCTGCTAAAGTATTCTATTATTTTATTAGAAATATTTCAAATTATTGTACTGTAAAAGTAAAAAAAGGTTTCTTTTTAAAATGCTCAGCTGTAACCCATGGACAAATTCCATTTTGTATTCTTTGTCAATGATTCAGTAGTTTTAGTAAATTTGGAGACGTGAAAGGAAGGCTCCATAAAGACCGATCATTTCAAAGAAATACTGTAGCGAACATTAGTTGGTATGTCTCAATTCGGCTTAATGAATTTGTCTATAGTACTGGTCTCATTCGACAGGATATAGGTTGTGTGATTTGGATGGCTTTCAATTTCGTACTATCCTAACACAAATTAGTAAATACTGTGGTACGTTGTCTTCGTAAATTGTCGATTAAGTGATGAGTAATTGTTTAAAAAGTAAAGGAGTCTTCTATAAGAAGCATCGGATGCTAAGTGCTTAGTTTGATGGATATGAAAACAGCTAATATGTTTACTAAGTCTTCTAGTCGAAAAGGTTAGTTTGTAGGATTGTTTAATTTTTTTTGAAATATACCTGTAAATGATGAAGCGTGTTCATGGTTCTGGAATAACCTTATTTCTATCCTATACGAGAACGGATTAAGACTGTGCCGCGCCCCCAAATAGTTTAAAAAGTAAAGGAGTCTTCTATAAGAATCATTGAATAGTACGTGGTATTATTACATAGATTACTCACATTTATTCTTACGTCACATTATTTTTCCAGTTAATTACTTGAAGTAGTGACCAGTAGAGTTCAACCAGGTCTGTTGTGTGATAGTAACTCACTGAAGACAATAATGAATGTGTTTCTCAATTTCGTGGATTAGTTGAATTTAGACATTAAAACCGTTGGATGTCGTCTCAGTAGTCTAGTGGTTAAGCGCTCGCAGGTAGGCGAGATCGTGGATGCACACTGCTAAGGAGATCTACAATAATACGAGACGGTCATCCAATGCTTCCAGGTTTTTCATGATGGTCTAGCTTCAATGGACTCATGATCTCAACCATTGAAATTACTTCATTGTTTTGTATTTTTCTGTCATGTCAGTAATTTTTTTTTAATTTTACCATTTTGGGGCTAAAAAGTTTTTTTTTGTTTGTTTCCAGACTTATTAGAATAAAAAAAAATCAATAATCAATATTCATAAATCAAAAAAAATTTTAAAATATAAAAGTAGCATTTTTAAAACAACCTATGAATGACTCATCAATATTGAACAGACTGATTTTATTGATTTTTATTTTAATTTAAATCAATGATTTAAATTTTTATCCAGAAAGATGGATAGTGGTTGACAGTGGAATCTATCAAGAGTATTTCATTCTATTTATGATTTTCTTCACTGAATGGATCTAGATATTAGACTTTGTTAATACTAATTCTGGAATTCGAATCTATTTATTGTTTACTTCAAATTTCATTGTATTATCTAATTAGCTACTACAATTGATCAATTTTTTATTGATGGTATATGTACATATTATGCGTATTACTTTGATATTGCTTTAACTTACAAGCATTCTAAGCAAAGATGGATTCGATTACCAGAGTAAGTACTTATACCGTGAAGATTTTCAAACTGTTCAATTATCTCATTCATATACCCATTCATTATGAAGATCTTTCAGTTTTATAAATTAGAATCAATTTTGTTGTATGACATTATCTTACACTAAATAAAATTGATTATCGTACTATTGTGGTGTGTGCTACTGAAGTCAACAGATATAAGTAGTATGTATCATCAATCCAAAGTGAATTGTCTGGCAGTAAAATGTTAAGAAGATCAAAGAAAAGAGAACGAGAACAAAGAATAATGTTGATGTGGAAACAAAAGAACAATGAAATCTGAGACGATTGATTGACATTTTGCAAATGAACTAATTGCTGTATGAATCTCAGATATTACTAACATGTTCTATAATTTTATGTTCGAATACATTTGACTTTTACCACTTGTATTCTTGTTCAGTACACTATTCGCTAACTGAAATAGCAGTAGCGAAATTGTTATAAGTATCAAGTGATTTGTACATTTTTTATTAGACATAATGCCATTCAAATATGAAGTTGAATAAATGCCATGCCTATGTATAAGTGTATAGTTTTATCACTGAAATATTTGTTCAGATAAAGATATTTTTTTGAAAAGTAATCCGTACATATGAAAAGCACAAACAATATACTGGTTTACATTCTAGCATTTATAATTTATAATGGTTATAACTTGTGGCTTGTATTCCCTGTTAATGTATAACTTAATGATATCGCCAATTAGAGAACAGTGAATTATCGATCGGATCAAAGACGCATAAAACCCATGTGAACAGTCTAAAGTCCTTATTGGCCCTGCTTCCTGCCTGTTAAGTCCAAAAACAGCTATCTTAGCCTCTACTATATGAATCATTTATTTCAAACATACTGAGTTTATATACCAACCAGACAGATCACAACGTACCATCATTTGTACAAGATTTAGCCAAATGTGGCTGTGAATGTGGTAGGTAGTTATTAATAGACAGGGAATAATTCAACAATGGAAAATCGCATAATAATAGTTCATAGGTGAAAATAAAGCTTATGATAAGAAGAACACGAATATGAATAGTTTAGTTATTTAACAATTATACGATAAAAATATACGCATAGTATTTGTCTATAAATGGGTCTCAAAAGTTACCATTCATTATTCGGGATATAACAATAATTCATATCAACAATGACAATGGATAATAATAGCATAGTATTGCTAAGTGTAAACCATTGGTTACCAGCTAAGTGATTCGAAGTTTAAGCGCTTATTACAAGGTCTGAATGTTCAGGATTTAACCTATGGTGGGATCATGAACTTGTACTGATAAAGAAATATACAATAGGTTGAATTAGCTGTTTATTATTTCTTAATTTTCAATGGTTGTCTAACTAGAATCAGTCAGCTCTTTAACCACCTTATAATAACAAGAATATAGAGATGCAGAGAAGTCATCTACATCGTGAAGAAAAAGTGAAGATAACTATTGTGTATAATAGATATTCTCTGGAAAGATTTGACCCAAATATAAGAAACGTTTTAAAAACAAAATCAAAAAACGAAGTTAATCAATAATGAGATTCAGTAAATCTGTAATTCATAGATTCTACGGTAGACCAAAGTTCCATAATGAACACACTTTTATAAGACTGATTGTGTCATTACCTGGAGCACGAACTTACAATTTTTCTAAAGAATTCAACAGAATACCGGGGAATATAGCTGAAACATATGATTACCCACTGAATTCTTTAAAGTAGCTTTTAGCCAAGATCAAGTATATGCAACTAAACAATTATGAAATAGTGACTTTCTTTAATGTCGAAGCTCGATTTACCTCGATAGGAATACAATTCACCAAAGACACCGTATTGAAACTGCTCACCATAAATAAGCAGCTCTTAAAACACATAAAATATTTCAAACACAATTAGCGGAATTACGAACAGATCAAGTGGACTCCAACAAGATTGTTTATATTAGAACTGATTGTACATTTTGTTATGTATATGCTAAAAGTTATAGTTTAACTAATAATCAATGCAAAATCTGTATACACATTATGTGTAAACACAATGTTACTGTTGGGGTGATCCAGGAATTACTTGCAAAAGACAAGCAAGCATCAGGAACCACTAAGAAGTGTTTTGTCCAATAAGCGTTCACTTGAA